ATAATAATAATAATAATAATAATAATAATAATAATAATAATAATAATTAATAATAATAAGGTAAGAAGAAGAAATTTGTAATCCAAGAGGGACCACTGTACTTGTCCTTAACGTTCTGCTTTATCTGTCCAATAATATTATGAGTTCATTGAGAGTGTTTATAATCCACAGGGCTTGTTAAATTGCCAATCTCCAGTACATCAGTATTCCAAAGAGACGGAGACAGGCAGCACTTAACCTTTAATCCACCACAGGTCAGCCGAAGCGATAAGATATTCAGGAAAAGAGAAGAGAGAGAAAAAGGGGGGTATTCATCACTTCCACAGTCCTTCAGTTTTATACCCTCTTTGCTTAGTTCTTCTCTTCTCATAGTACTTCATATGTCAATGCAGGGAGGGGAAGACAATTTACTTTCTCTATTTTAACCCAAAATCCAGGAAAGTGGCTCAATATAATTGCAAATTGTCTCTATCCAAAATTACCTCTGTTCAAATCTTCTTTTATAAAGTCCAATCCAGTTTCTCTGATTTGATTTTATTATTATTATTTTAACAACAACTTTCCCTTCACTCCTTCCTTATTATTACGGATCTGTAACTTCTCTGCATTTTTTCCTCACCGCTTCAAAGGTAGAGGGAGGGAGAAAAAATTCCCTTCTTCTCTCTGGAGTACCCTTTTCTTCTTAAATCAGCATAGGGATCACTTTGGTGGAAGTTGAAAAAAACTTTATCCAGATCCAATCCACTGCTTTCTTCCGCTTTCTCAACACTTGCTCCAACCAGCTACCACTGCTTCGGTTTGGCCACTAATGACCATCTTCTTTTTCACCTTCTTTCAGGAAGGATTATTCCTGACTAGCAAAATGGACCACTGTCCATTCGTGATCAAGAGCCCTTCCTCTCCTGTCACCCCTACAGGGTGACTCCGGCTCCAAGGAGCCCCCCGGGTGGACAGAAACTGTCTGTGCTCCATGGAGATCCCACTCACACACCCGTTCATGATGATACCATCTGGCTCCTCCCCCCAGTAATTTTTTAAAATCACATCTTTATGACATTGTTTTTCTCTCATGCCCAATCCATAGGAGGTAATTTAAAGCTGTAATTGTACCAATTTTAATGTAAAGTTTTCTCTATCCTGGAAGTTTTTGTCATAACATATCAGCAGTTGCTGGCCTGGATCTACCCAGCTTCTTTTGGTCATTTTTTGGCTGTTCTAGAATTGCCCTTTGCCCTCAAGGCACTGAGCACTGTACTTCATGGCCATTTTGGCATGGACTGCAGGAAGGATTGGAAGCTGCTTCTCTAGAAGCATCTGCTCATGCCATGCTTGATACTTATTTGAGCTTTCTCAAATGCTCCTGAAATTTTATACAAGCTTAGGAATAAATTTTATGTTCACTATGCAAGAAAGACTGCCCAGGTATGTTTCAAAAAAAGAGAAATAGCTTCTCTTGCAAGTATGTTAATTCTGTGTTGAACAGACATTAATTTAAAGCAGGAGAGGGAGAGAATCTGTTCCTGCCAGCTGCATTGCCTGTTCCATTCTGGCTGCTTGTCTACTTCCAGCCACAAGGATTCACTGGCAGCATTTTCATTTTTTTATAACATCAATCAAGGATGAAACTTGCTCATTTACTGGTTTTTTTCTCTTGCTTCCCTCTGCCTCCAATTCTTGCATGTGATTGTTTTTGAATGTTAATCTAGCTCTCTTTAGAAGAGCATTAAATCTAAAACATAAAAAAATGTTTTATGTTTTGTGTTTTGGTTAGCTATGTTTTGATTGTGAATTAATAAAACCTTGGAGGAATAAAACTAAAGGGAGAGAAATTTGGAAAAGACATGTATAAATGATAATTAAGGAGGTTTTATCTTTTTATGTCTTGTTTTATGTTTTGTATTTTGTGTGTTTATGCTTGATTGAGAATTAATAAAACCTTGATAGAAAGAAATATAATTGAATAAAAGTGAAGGGAGAAACAATGAGAAATTTGGAAAAGATATATATGTGCTTAAATGGAAATGTGATAATGTGGAACTATGCCTTAAAAAATAATGTTTTATTTGCCTTGTTAAAACTTATAAGTAGTTTTTAGAAAGGAGGTTTTATACTTTTTTGTCCTATGTTTTGTTTGTCTTTAAAAAATCAATAAAACTTTTTTTTAAAAAAAAAGAAGAGCATTAAATCTGTATTTAAAATCACAAATAAAATAAATAATATAAATAATAAATAATTGTGCCTATAACTTATTAATTGGCTATAAAAGCCTATACAAGTCCAACACTCTGGGTTAGGAAGAGTGATTTTCCCTCACTGGTAGATGATGTTTAGTGGGAGGGGAAAAGCCAGGGTAATGTACCAAACAATTTCTTCAATTTCATCTACATTACCCCTATAAGGACAGCACCAGGAGCTGGCCTCCTCACTGTGTCAGAACATCTCAGCAATTAGGGTATGTTAGCATACATTTCTGCTAGCTTAAGAACCCATGAATAGTACTGTTGACCACAGTTATAATGGAGAAAAATGCTCCCTAAAAGCCAAAACAGACAGAATATTAACTATTCATATCAGTAATAATGTATAACAACTATTCGAAAAGTGGGGAAGAGATCTGCATTCACACTGCTGGCTAAGAATGAGAAATTCATCTTCCTCTCCATCTAGTCTTGCATAGAATCTGTTCCTCATCAGCTGCAGTTGGCATTGGAAGGGAACTCACTGCTAAAGAGCACAGAGGACAATTGCACAAATATAAAGGCAAAAAATTCTTTACAAAAGAAATTTCTAGTTAAGCCATTCTGGCTGAAATTGCAGTAGAATTAATAATTTGGAGAAAAACATGTTTCTTGCATTGTCCCTCTGACCAATTGCTGTTATACTCTGATTCAGCTGGACAACAGCTGATTTTGCTGACACAGCCTCCTGCTTTGGTATGACCTGGTCACTAAAATTATCTTCCTGTTTTGCAGCGAGGAAGGGAAAGCAGTTCACTCAGTCACTGTTCCGGACACAATCACGGAGTGGAACGCAAATGCATTCTGTCTGGCAGATATAGGCTTTGGCCTGTCTCAATTAACCACAATCAGGGTTTTCCAGCCCTTCTTCACTGATCTGACTCTGCCATATTCTGTGATTCGTGGAGAGACTTTCCAGATAAAGGTCACAGTCTTTAACTTCCTCAAGGACTGTATCCAGGTGAGAGCCCATTTAGGACAAGTCAGAAATCTTACAAAATTTAGGAGGAGGAAATTCACAATGAGCTTGAGACATGGAGACCAAGACTGCAAAGAGAAGCATTGTATTCCTTTCTGTGCCTGACAGAGGATAAATTCCTAGCAGCCCCAATTTCTTCCCCACAAACCATTGGGGGGGGGGGGGATGAAGTTGATGAAGTACTTTCAGAGGTTTGCAAAGCAAAATTCTCCAGAGAGTTCCTGCCAATTTGAGCTGGCAAAAAGTAGTTTTCTGGAAGTTCTACTGGACATAACCATATTATTCCATCCTGCATATGTAAGCTCAGCAGGACAGGCACTGGCACTGCCACTCTCACTGGTCAGCTGGTATTCCTTCACGTGCCCACATTGTGCCTTCCCCTGAATAGTTGCCCTTCGCTAGGCCCAGATGCATAGTTCATCTTGTGTCTCATCCTTCGTGTCTCATTCAGGTGAGAACAACCCTGCTAGACTCTGAGGAAGTGGAGGTGAAGCCCTGTCCTGACTGCCTGTTCACCACCTGCTTGTGTGCTGAGGAAGCCAAGGTCTTCTCCTGGAATGTGACAGCTACCCAGCTGGGTAAGACTGTGTTGAATTGGCATCCTTTTAGTTCTTAAGATCAGGAGCACTCAGCAGAAGTTACAGTGAAACTTTGGCGGGACAGGTGGGTGGGTCAGCTTTCTAACTTTCTAACTAACATTTTGTCACGTTGAAACATCTGTTAATGTTGAAGTGGAACCAGGACTGAGGACAGATTCATGAACATAGCCCATATCTCTGTCTGTTCAAGAGTCATTCAGCCCCTCTGCACTCAGATCTGTATCCAACTCCATTGATGGGCAGATGCAGAGGTGACCTTGGCATTGTATTTGCAGCATCTATTAATGGTGGTGGTAAATTGTAGAATGGGTTTTGGACGAAAAGGAAGCAGCCATTGTTGTTCACACTAAACTGATGGCTGAAAGTCTGGAACTAGTTGTTCTGTATTGCTTTTGTCTTCTTGTAGGGCATGTGAACATCTCAGTAAGAAGTGAGGCTGAGGAGACCCAAGCATTGTGTGGCAACAAGATCTCTGTCACTCCCACGCATGGCCAGTCAGACACAGTTATCAAATCTTTACTTGTCAAGGTCAGTGAAGACATCAATCAAACTCTAGTTCAAGCACCAATCAATATCACAAAGGTGGGGATAAAAGATGAGAACCATACGTGAAGTTCCAATTAAACTTATTCATTACTAACATGCCTATGCTCAGTAATCAACTTAATGCTTAGCATTATCTTTGTGTAAGTTAAGAGTCAGCAGAATTCAAGAAAGGTTAGACTTAAATCGTTTTGTGGCTATGTAAAGACTCTTGGCCAGGATGGGCAATTAACTTGGGACTGTTGTGGAGGGCCAAACCAATAGCTCCAGACTATGGTCTACCCATTCACCCACAAAGTTCTGCTTCAACTGAGGTGATGGTGGGTGGCCAAGCCGAGGTCCCCTCACATGTTATTCAGATTAACAGAGTTGGAAGGGACCTTTAGGTCATCTAGTCCAACCTCCCCCTCAACCAAGCAGGAGATCCTACACCATTTCTGACAGATGACAGTCCAATCTCTTCTTGAAAGTCTCAAATGATGAAGCTCTCACAACTTCCAAAGGCAAACTATTCCATTGGCTGATTGTTCTCACTGTCAGAAAATTTATCCTTATTTCCAGGTTAAATCTCTCCTTGTTCAGTTTCCATCCATTATCCAACATATGATTGCATTGACTTTTTTGGCTGCCGCTGCACACTGCTGGCTCATATTTAGCTGGTTGTCCACTAAGACTCCAAGATCCCTCTCGTAGTTACTGTTATTAAGCCTGGTTTCACCCAGTCTATATGTGTACTTTTGGTTTTTCTTGCCTAAGTGTAGGACTTCACTTTTCTCTACATTGAATTTCATTTTGTTAGATAGGGCCCAGTGTTCAAGTCTGTCAAGATCCATCTGGATCATGAGACTATCTTCTAGGCATTAGCTATTCCTTCCAGCTTAGTATCATCTGCAAATTTGGTAAGTTCCCCTTCTATTCCCTCATCTAAGTCATTTATGAAGATTTGCCATCTTAAGATTTTAACATACCAACAATGGGATTAAAGGTGGGAAATGAGTGCATTCCCCTTCTATTCCCTCATCTAAGTTGTTTATGAAGATATTGAAGAGTACCGGGCCTAAGACAGGCTGCTCCAGGTGAGGGGTGAGCACTGCACAGATGAAGAAAAGTATTTTCTCTTCTTGTCCTCCCATGGCCACCAGCTAACTGATAGAGCACACGGCGATTCTACAGAGCTGAACCAAACTAGAGGTTTTCTCTCACTCCCCGAACATTTACAGCTGTGGCCTGAAGCTGTAAATTACCCAGGTCTGCTCTAGGCTCTTCCTCTTGACTTCACTCCAGATTCTTCTTCTCTTTCTCCTATAAACCCAGAAATGATTTTATAAAAATGGGTGATTTTGTAAAAATGGGATTATTTTCTTCAGTGTCAATACTTTTGAATCTTGCAGTGTTTTCAAGGCTACATCCAGGTGAATGGCTGCTCTTCTTTGCCCAGTCACAGGCTTGGCATTAAGAAAGTTCTCCAAAAACACACCATCAAACAACCCATAATTCGTTTTTCTTTCCACAGCCAGAAGGTGTCCTTGAAGAAAAAGCCCAGAACACTTTCCTATGCTCTTCAGGTATGGCTGAGCTGCATCTCTTGTTTAGTGTTACTGTATTTGTGGTGAGTCCACAGCGAAGATCAGCCTGTTTCTCTGAGAACCAGCTCTGCTATAAGAAGGCAACACAATGATATGTCTACCTGATATAGGACAGATGGAAGGAGCTACGGGGGGAAAGGCAGTGTGTTCTTTAGCTGGGAGAACTTCAGAAATGTGTGTTCTTCCTGCTCCGGTCTTTATGCAGGCCAGCTATCAGTGCTACCTCTCATGCTCATGTTCCTATTGGAAAAATGAGATGATTCTGTCCTGCACAACCAACCACTTGTTTGATAGAAAAGAAATGTTCTGGGTACTTGCAAAATGTTGTATGCAGTGAAATTTATCACAACTACATTTTTGTAGCTATTCTAATTCTGCATTTTTATTCACACATGTACTCCCTCCAGGAGAACCAGCATCCGAAGAAGTTTTCCTAACAATGCCAGAAGCAGTTGTGCAGGATTCTGGGCGGGCCACTGTATCTGTCATTGGTGAGAAAGATGTCTTCTTTTGCAAAGAGAGAGCAGACATGGCAGCAGGCTTAGTGCTTGACCATCACATGTTTTGTAGATATTTGAAAGGAGAAGCATTGAAAACGGAATGCTGCGTGTGCATTGTACTCTCCTATGCAGGTGAAAGTTGGGCAGCCTTGATTGCCAGACAAAGACAGGTTTTAAAAGCATCCTAGCCATGCATCTGCCATGGGCTGGCTTACTGAGGAACAGCATCTCAGCAAGTGCTCCATGATGTCATGTATTGGGCCCATGCCTGCCTGGCCAATTGTTTTACAATTCAGTTTGCAAGAACTTTCCTGAATGTAGTGTTTCAGTTTCTAGGAGGAAGAGAAAAGTTTTCTGGATTTGAAGGAAGGCAGATCTTTCATATTTGCTCCCTCTATTTTGTTAATATTCAGGAGACATTATGGGAGCTGCGCTAGAAAATATAGGCCAACTGCTTCAGATGCCCTTTGGCTGTGGTGAGCAGAATATGGTCAAGTTTGTTCCCAACACCGTTGTACTCCAATACTTGGAAGAAACCAATCAGGTGACTCTGGAATTAAGGAATCAGGCAATAGAGCACATGAAGAGTGGTGAGTTGGGTCTGTCTCTTATTTGGAAGGTCTTCTGGGGGAGTCCAGGCTTTGCAAGTACCAGGTGGCATCTAAGGACCAGATTAAGTCAGGACCTAACCTGCCATCCCATGACCATCCCTCCTTATACCAGTCATTTTTAGTGAATGTTAAATGCTTTCTGCATTTTTATATTTGGGAAGTTATTTTTATGTCTGAAGATGATGCTTTTGGGTTGAAATTGAAGAGCGCCAGCAGAGTCACATAGGATCAAGATAGACCTGAGAGCGTTCTTTCCTCCTTATTCTGCAGGATATCAACGGCAGCTGCTTTATAAACACAATGATGGCTCCTATAGTGCCTTTGGAAAACGTGACGAAGAGGGAAACACTTGGTAAGGGACTTGAGCAGAACAGCCATTTTTCTCAGAATGTTCTCTCCCATAAATTCACCAAATGACAGGTGGAAATACTTTTGGAGTTGCCAGCAGGGCTACTATGCCTTCCTCAAACAGAAGCAGCACGATCCCCCCCCCCCCCAAAATATATATATATATATATATTATTAGGAGGACACTGTCTGGGCCTGCCCTTTCATCCATCTACTATCATTCATCTACTTTTCTCTGGCTATTTGTCATAACTCTCAGGTGACCAGATGGCAGCTGCAAGATCATGAGCAGGTGACTATGGAGAAGTTGAAGGTGCTGCTACTTCTTCAGTATTTTCTCCCCCCCCCCCTCTTTTCTGCTGCCCAGGCTGACTGCATTTGTGGCCAAGGCTTTTGGCCAGGCAAAGCGCTACATCTATGTGGATGAAAGGCATATTCAGAATACTGTGGACTGGTTGAAGAAACACCAACTTCCCAGTGGCTGCTTTGAAAGTGTGGGGAGGCTCTTTAACAATGCCCTGAAGGTAGGAACCATGTGATCTGAGGTAGTAGTGTAGGACAGGGGTCACCAACCTTTTGGAACTCAGGGACCACCAAATTCATAATTTTAAATCCCGGGGACCACTAATATGAATTTTGACTGATGGTGGCTTGCTGACATTGGTGGGAGAGAGAGAGAGAAATCTGATCTCACCTCCCTCCCTCTCTCTCTCTCTCGCTCTCTCTCTCTCTTTCTCCCACACACACACAGAGGCAGGGGTGGGATTCAAATTTCATAACAACCGGTTCTGTGAGCGTGGCCTAATTTGTGGGTGTGGCTTGGTGGTCATGAGACTGGCTGGGCATGGCTTGGATTTAAATATTATATATATTTATATAAATATTGAATTTTTTATAAAAAAGAGCAATTTTTATCCAAAATCAGGCGAAGCCGGCAGGCAGATTGAGTTGCTCACAGAATCACAGATTCATTCAGAGATCTGTGAGATTTGCTTGCAGTGAATCTGCACTGAATAATAAAAGTTTCAGTCCAAAGGAAGGTTCGGCTCTGCTTAAAAGCAAAGCCAAAGATCTAAAGATTAGCTAGAAAGCAAGAAATCCAACGATTTCCTGCTTTCTAAATCTAAATTAGATTTCCAGCTAATCTAAATCGCCCAGCACAGCAGAACAGCTGATGGCCGGGGAAAAAAAAGAAAAATAGCAAATTAGCAGGCAAGTTTGCCAGGTAAGGAGTGAGTGGGCGGGGAGGCTTCCCGTGGGCCATGTGGGCAGCGCAGCCTTGTGTTCCTGCGCAGCCTGGATTAATTGCTTTGGGGGGTGCTCTGGGGGTGACATTTCTCTGTGGCCCACCAAAATTTTCTCATGGACCACCAGTGGGCCACGGCCCACTGGTTGGCAACTGCTGGCGTAGGAGATACCTCTGTGAATCAAGGTGAATCAGGTGAATCAAGGTGTCAGGAAAAGGGCCCTTGTGACTTCACTTGCTGGCTTCTGCTCTATGTCTGCAGGGTGGTGTGGATGATGAACTCTCTCTGACAGCCTATGTCACTGCTTCTTTGCTGGAGCTGCACCTAGAGAAGAATGTAAGTCTTTGGGGGCTTTAATTTTTGTGCAGATCTCTGAGACATTGAATGCGATCTTCAATTGCTCTCAATGTGTAATCCTTTATGGAGGGAAGCAAACAGTATAGTATCCCAAGATTCTGTCTTATACCCAGTATTCTTCAGCATCTTCATAAATGATTCAGATGAGGGGATGGAATGGGAACTCATCAGATTTGCAGATAACATCAACCTGAGGGGAATAGCCAAGACCATAGTAGATAGCCTCAAGGTCCAGAAGAACCTTAACAGATCTGGCCTATCCAAGAAAATGCAATTCAGTAATGAGAAAAGTTTGGTTTTACACTTGGGCAAAAATAAATGCACGGGTATAGAATAGATGCTTCCAGAAGCAACTACTGTAGATTTTTCAGGTAGGGAATCCATTTGTGATTCCAAAGACAGTGAATGTAAGAAAGAGGGGTTGGAAGTAATCCATTTATGAACTTTGGGGGGGTATGTGGTACAGAAGACCAGCCAACCTCAGGGATGGGATAAGAAGAATCCAAATGCTGACAGAGGTTTTCTGCCCAATCATTTAGCTCTGTGTTGATCACAGAGAATAGAATATCCATATAGATATTATCCTGCTTGAAGCCTTACTGGTTATTTTGGAATTGTAGAGGAGCCTGGTAGATGATGCCTTACTCTGCCTGAAGAGAAACCTGAACTCTATAAACAATACCTACTCCAAAGCTTTGCTGGCTTACGTGTTCACGTTGGCTGGGGACACAGAGACCCGGCAACAGCTCGTCAAAGAATTAGAAGAGGAAGTTTTCAAAACAGGTAGGAGGAGCTATGTAGTCTTTCCCATGCTTTGCTTGTGGAAATTCTTTTCTGTGAATCTTGATGCATTCTGTGAACCTGGTTTATCCATAAGTAGATAAACTGCTTTCTTCTGAGATCTGTCAGTAATTTCCATGTTGCTAATAGAAATATATGATAAACATGAATTATTCTTTGATAATACATGTCTGTTGGAGGTTTGATTCCAGTACTTTCCCCTGCCTGATTTTGTTCACTGTCTCTGGAAGTGAACAACAAATCTATGTGTACATGCAAATAATATGTCTGAATAAAATTACATTCTTGAATGCTGCTGTATAGTGTTACCTCTTATGGCTACCCTCCCCCAAACAATAATCAAACAACAACAACAAAAACAGTGAGGGAGGGGGAACCAATGGTTTCTGCTTCAAAAAATAGTTTGGAAGAATATTGTAGGACTTAAGTCTTCAGTAGTGGGCTTTTTTATTTAATTGCAGTCTTTATTTTGATGTTTGCAGAAGATGTTCCAAATATTGAAACAATGGCCTATGTGCTGTTGGCTCACCTTTCTATGATGGAAGTATCCACAGACGATATCAACTATGCCTCTCAGTTGGTAGTCAACCTCAATAAACAACGGAATACTTATGGAGGATTTAGTTCCACCCAGGTAACACTGATTCTCATAGTTCCCATTTGTAGAGAAACAAATTGGGGGAGCAAAAGCTTTGCAAAGAATTTAATCTGAATTATGTAGAATCTGAATACACTGAATCTAAAAATTAAGGAAAATGGACATATTTGGAAGTAAAATTGCCTCTTCTGCTCATGGGACTTGAGGCACACAAAAATGTCATCAATTCAAAATTTGTCACATGAAACCCTGTAGTAGAATTAGGAAATATGGGATAAGAGTGTATGTTTCTGTTGTTGATTAAGAACAGCAGCAACTTACTTGCCTTAATGATTAAGAAGAGTGGTATTATGGCACAACAGGTTCCCAAAAATTGTGACTTTGTAGATATAAACCAAGCTTTGAAAATTATTAAAAACATAAGAGGAGAAACAATGTGTGTAAGGAGATTATTTTTCAAACCATAAGTTGCAACATTGTCTTTGACAGTTTGGTTTTGCTGGCTAGACAAAAGAAGTTGGAATTCACAATACTGAGAGAGTTACCTATTGTCCAATCAGAATTAGTTGCATTCATTGACAAGATCCTTGATCTTCATAGAGGTTTACTGCTATGTCCAGCGCTCTCACTCCAGTCCACGTTTCTAGAGGGCGCTATGCTGCGTCCTGATTCGTTAGCCATCTGACAGCTGAGTATATAAAGAGCTGTCAGATGGGAGTCCAGCTGTTGCCTTTTGCTGGACAGCCATTGTTGTTAGCTGCCTTGTTGGCAATGGGTGGGATTCAACTGGTGTTAGTACTGGTTCGGTGTGAGTGTGTTTTGCACACGCTGCATGCACGTGTGCAACATTAGGGTGGGATTCAAATTTCTTAACAACTGGGTCTGTGGGCGTGGCTTAATTTGTGGGTGTGGCTTGGTGGTGGCTGGGTGTGGCTTGGTCACAAGACTGGCTGGGCATGGCTTGGTGGTCATGTGACTATGTGGGTGTAACCAACTCAATGTTACTCATGTCAAGGGGTGACACGCCTGACTCCTCCTCTCCCTGCCATTCCTTGTCACACCCAGCCTCAACTTATCTATAGTTCTGTAAAAATGTTGTTCACCTTTTTTTGACTTTATTATCTACATACTATAGATGTACTTTCATGGACAACTGAAAAGAGAAAATGGCTCACATGCTTTGCCCAAGAGTGTGATAGGCAACAGGGTTTTAAGGAGCTGCCAGAAAGATTGGGGGGCGGGGGGCGGCAATGTATTTTCCAAAGCACCAGAAGGAAAACAAGAAGCAATGGATAGAAACTGAACAAAGAGAGAAGCAAGCTAAGACTAAGGAGAAACTTCTTGACAGTAAAAACAATTAACCAGTGGAACTGCTTGCCACCAGAAGTTCTGGGTGCTCCGACACTGGAGGTTTTTAAGAAAAGACTGGACAGACATTTCTCTGAAATGGTATATAGGGTTCCCCCCAAGGTCCTTTCTAAGTGTTATTCTGATATTCTGACACCTTTCCCAGGACCTCTACTCAGAGTTTGGCATCCTCAGTTTCGTGCCTGAGCAGGGGGTTGGACTAGGAGACCTCCAAAGTCCCTTTCAGCTCTGTTAAACACACATGTATTTATGCTCTGTACTATAGACATTGAATGCATGTATTGTAAACCCTGAAAAATACCTCGGTTTTGCCAGTAAAATCACTCTAGGTGTAGGTACAGTATAAAATATTAATATACAATAAATAATGGAACAATTAAAAATAATACCAGAGTTTTATCCGCCCTTTCCTTCCTATTTTTTCTTTCTTTCTTTCTTTCTTTCTTTCTTTCTTTCTTTCTTTCTTTCTTTCTTTCTTTCTTTCTTTCTTTCTTTCTTTCTTCCTATTTCTTTTTCTTTCTTCCTATTTCTTTTTCTTTCTTTCTTCCTTTCTCTTTCTCTCCCTCTTTCTTTCTTGCTCTTTCTTCCTCTCCCTTTTTCTTTCTTGCTCTTTCTTTCTTGCTTGCTTGCTTGCTTGCTTTCTCTCTCTCCCTTCCTCTTTCTTTCTTTCTTTCTTTCTTTCTTTCTTTCTTTCTTTCTTTCT